TAAATAAATTTCCATGTGAAAAATTAAAATGAAATTTTAAGGAGAAAAAAAGAATTTAAAATAGAAAAGTGTGAATAAAAATTAAAAAAAGGAAAAGTGAAGAAGACAAGGCATAAAGATCCAAGAAATACGCAAAGAACCACGCTTCCAACTCTGACCCATTATTCTGGTCGTCACCCATCGCCTTTTTAAACCTTCTTTGCACACAAATATATTTTGTTTAGTTTTATTAATTAAAAAATAAATTTATTTAATATTCTACAAAATATAAATTATAAATATTTTGGATTTTACCTACTATGGAATATATAATATATGATATTATTTTAGAGTAAATTACAAATCTGGTCCCTGCTGTTTGCTAAAAGTAACATTTTTCGTTTTTATAGTTTTGAAATCACAAGATGAACATCATGATTTGTAAAAACGTTCGGATTTGATCATTTTTTCTACAAACCATTAAATGAGGGGTGTTTTTTTTTCTTTTTATCGATATTTTTTCATTTAATTAATCAAAAACCACATAAACCAAATCATAAAATGATTGGTAAAAAAAAATAAAGAAATCAATAAAAGGATGAAAATGTCTCTCATTTAATGGATTTTTAATGGTCGTTAGAAAAAGGGATCAAATCTAGACGTTTATGTAGACCACAATGGTCATCTTGTAATTTAAAAATTGTAGGGATGAAAGTGTTATTTTTGCCAAAACACAAGGACCAATTTGTAGTTTACTCCGTTATTCATTAATTTTTCTTGTCTTTAGAGTAAATTACGTTTTTAGTCCTTATAATTTGTTAAAAATTTCTATTTGTGTTCTTATAGTTTTTAAATTACGATTTTCATCTCTTTAGTTTATAATTCATTAACTTTTTTGCTTTCATGATTTAAATTTTTAACTTTTGCGCACTTATGGTTTAAAATTCATTTCTATTTTAGTCATTTATACTTAAAAGTAGTATTTTAGCCTCAAAGACGAAAATAGAAATGAATTACAAACCATAAGAACGGAAAACGTAATCCACTCCTATCCTTATTGTATGTAATTTATTTTAGTTTGGAATAATTTATTTTAGTTTGGAATAATTTATTTTAAAAGCTTTATTACGACAAGAATTTGAAACATAATATTTTATATACAGGGTTATAATACATCTTGTGTTTTTGTTTATAAAGTTACAGTATGTTCTCTTAATTACATATACAACATTATAAGATTTTCTGGTGAAGCTTTCTAAAAGAGTTGTTTGTTTACCTCTTAATAGTTCCATTAAGAGGTAACATCTGAATCGTTAAGAGGTGAATCTTGTTTGGCAAAAGAAAAGTTTGCCTCTTAATGGTTCTAAAATCATCTGAATGATTTTGCATCATGTGTCTCCCTTAACCATTAAGTGTCTTGATTTCATTGTAAACAATTACCAAAAATATATATATTATTTTGTATTATATCATGAAAGTCTCTTAATCATTCTGACCACTTAATCATTCTGCATTAAACCATTCAGCAACTACCAAACAGCCTCTTAGGTTTTTCAAAATAAGAATCAAAATTATATATGGTCTATTTTAATGCAATTTAACGTATTTTAATTATTAATTTTGACTTCAATCGATAAATTTTTTTTTATTTTTTATTATGATGGTCATTTTAAATATATGATCAGTAATTAAATAGCATGACATGAACTACGTTTTACTTTTTTGTGTGTGTGTGTTTACTTTTACCCCGATGTGTGTTGTTTCACGTCCATGCCAGTTTTCTTTGCCTCTGTGGTTTCTTTAACGTGTGGGGTTTTCGTCATTTATATTTGTGTTCTTCCATGTTTGTGTGTCTCTTTATGTTTTTGCCACTTTTGTATATTTTTTTTATTCATGTTTCGCTGTGTATTATATAGAAAATAAACAACGGTACACATTTTTTATCATCTTAAATTTATCAAAAATACCGCGTTCTTTATAGAAATAATACCAATGGCCATCAAGCCTTCCCTAGTACACTGTCGTTTTTCATATTTAAATTTACAAACTCTTCATGAAAAAGTATATCAGATGTTACTTTCGAAAAAGGGGAAACATGTTTTTCCACCTTTTTTGCACAAGTTGTACAATTTGTAAGTGTTAGAACTTATGACCACATGATATCTCTTCTCAAAACAGCTCAATTTAGCGTCTATTTGTTTGTTGAATTTGATAAATCATCATATATATTTTTTATCTACATTAAGGGGTTGTTTGTTTACATCTTAACAGTTCCATTAAGAGACAACATCTGAATCATTAAGAGGTGAATCTTGTTTGGTAAAAAAAGTCTGTCTCTTAATGGTTCTAAAACTCTCTGAATGATTTTGTATCATGGGCCTTCCTTAACCATTAAGCGCACTGATTTCATTGTAAACAATTACCAAACAATTGTATTTTATTTTGCACTATATCATGAAAGCCTCTTAATCATTCTGACCACTTAATTATTTTGCACTAAACCATTCTGCAATTTCCAAACAACCCGTAAGTCTTAATATTTAAGACATGTCTTAATAGAAAAAAACTTATATCCAATTAGTACTCTCAAATCCAGGTATTATCAAACCCTTGTGGTCATGGAGGTTCACAGTCATGGTCCCTCAGGGGATTACGGTTAAAAAACTTGTATAGTCAATGACATATTTCAAGAAATCAATCAGTTATTACGTTAATTAATCTGAAATATTATATGATACTAAATTGGAAAAGAATGCGAGATATTTCAATTGTATACGTAGTTAAATAAGCTTTAATCATCGTATATTAAGAAAAGTAATTCATTTAATTACTATATTTAAATAATTCCATAATTTTTGGTTTGCTAATTTAAAATATCAACCCATTTATCGTAATAAAAGTTATATCATTAATATATTTGTTTATTTAAATATTAATTCTTAATTGAAAAATTAATTCTTATAAAGTTAGCAATAAATTTTGAAAGTCGAACTTAAAAATCTATATTTAGAAAAAATGTATTTGAAATTTGATATGTTTTTAAGAGGGTGTTTGAAATTGCTTATTTGAAACAACTTATATTTTTTTACAAAAGCACTTATCAACTTATTATAAGTCAGAAATGTTTAACTTCTTCGAAAACTCCTTATTACCGGTTTGGCACCGGTATAAGTTGTTTATTCAAACACTCAAAAGTACTTATTACCGGTGCCACACATGAATAAGTCAATAAGTTGTTTTTATAAGCAATCCCAAATACCTCTAAAAATAGGGTTATTAATATAAACATTTTTTTAAGTATAAGTCCAAAAATACAGTATTTTAAAAGAGTGGATTACAACATTGGTTTATGTGTTATGCCTTTTTTTTTGTTTGGGTCCTAAAACACATTAAGTATATTATTAGTCCTTAATAAATTTATGTTTTACATAACGTATTGATTTCTAACAGTGTTAACTCCATTTCCGTTAACCCCTTCATCAATTTAGTATTTTTTCTAAAAAGAATATTATATATGATACAAAATAAACTAATATTATGTGTATTATATATAATATACATTTCTCTTTTTATCCAGAGTTCAACGACACCCCATCCCCTTCCCGAAGAACCACTACTCGCCTCCCCTTTTTGACTACCATCGTCCCTTCCCCTTCTAAAATAACCATCGTCGTCCCCTGTAAGATCCGTACACTATTGTTGTACTTCCATCATCTTGAATGAGATCTATATCCCTTCCTTTGTTTAGGCATACTCGGCATTTGCACCCTCATTGAGAAATCTAGGGTTTTGATTTACGTCAACAGTTTAACCAATGATGAACTCGAAGATGCAAATCTAGGTTCGAGTATAGTTTTCAAAGATGCCGATCTAGATTCAAGATGCACATCCATATTCAGGTTGGGGGTAGAGGTGTTCTTGAGTTTTTGATATTTGACTTGGGATTTAAGTTTAGTGTTTAGATTTGGGATTTGATTTACGGTTTTGATGTACATAGTTTTTGTATCACAATTTTTTTAAATGAATATATATATATATATATATATATATATATATTGTTTATCAATATTCTTGATCATTATTATTGATTTTATGTTTGGATTGTGATGGTGAGTGGTGGACGATATGGTACTGGGCGAAGGGTGGTGGTGGTGGCAGCTGGGACCATTAGTGACTAAGAGAGTTGCTGTAAATGGAAAAAAAGAAATATTGATAAAAAGACCAAATTGGCAATCGTGTGAGAGGCACATGATTGGGTTAATGAATCTTAAGTTAACGATGTTAAGTCGAGGAAACACAAAATACGGATTACTGATGTACTTCATGTGTTTTAGGTACCAAAACCAAAAAGGAGGTATAGCAGAAGTACCAACGATGTAATTCACTTTAAAATATATATATATATATATAAACTCTTAAATGTATATCTTAAACTCATCGCAGAAAGGGGACGAGTGAAGATGAGAGTCGCTAGCGCTAGGGTAGAGGGTTCACGGATGAAGCTGAGAGGGAAATGACAAATTTACCCTCACATGAAGGACACATGACAGACTTAACGAAACCTCCTCTAACAATGTTAAGTGAAAGGATTAGTTAACGAAACCTCCTCTAACAATGTTAAGTGATGGGATTAGTTTGACGAAAAAGGACAAGTGATGTATTTTAGGGAGCAAAATAAAAAAACAAGAGTAAGAAAAGGACCAAGAATATAATTCACTTTTATGTATTTTAAATAATAATTATATATAACCACAAGGGTGGGTGGTGACTGATTGGTTTGAGTTTGGCTTTAAAGGTCAAAAGTAACAGGAGGTCTTAGGTTCAAATTCAAGAAGGAATAAAAATCCATTTGTAGCCATGGAAGTTCAAATGCGGTGACTTCGGGTTATCTGCAAAACATGTGTTCGTCATCGGCTTACATAACGGATTGAATATCCATGTTAATAAAATAATAATAATTATTATTATTATATAAAAATACGTTACAATTTGACGAGAAATCGCCCCCTGAAAATTAATTAAAACCAAGACCCCAATATATTTCGGACCACATAATACGTTAGAGAATCGGCACCCACACGACCATACTAATGCTCCGGCCAGAGAACAGACGGGGATCCTCCGATTAATTCCGACCCAGTTTCAAGATTGTGATAGGGATTGGTAACAATTTAAGGATTTCGGAGTTTTTTTTTGTCAAGGTGTGATGGAAATGGAGGTGAGGAGGATAGTTGTGGTGGTAGAAGAGGTGGAGGTAGCAAGAACGGCTCTGGAATGGGCGCTTCACAACGTTCTACGTTACGGTGATTTAGTTACTCTTCTTCATGTTTTTCCGGCGACGAACAACTCCGGCGGAAAATCGCGTAACAGAAAGAAGCTCAGGTTGCTCCGATTGAAAGGCTTTCAGTTGGCTCTTTCATTCAAGGACATCTGCATTCATAGTTTCCCTAATGTAAGTACAGATCTCTTTATTTGAATCGATTAATTTATCGTCCTTTGTAGACATTGCGATTACGCAATTGGAAATCCCTAACAGACGAAGATAGAGATTGTTGTGACGGAAGGTGATGAAGAAGGCGGAAGGATCACGGATTTGGTCCGGCAGATTGGGGCTTCAACTCTTGTTGTCGGTCTCCATGATCAGAGCTTTCTCTACAGGTAATTTCTGTTACATTCGTTCATTTAATCGACCATATGATCCTTCAATCATTTGCCTGTTATTCAGTTTTTGGATCATCAATTCTTCAATTGCTACGAAATAAATGCCCAATTTCAAAATTTCCATTGCCTGTGATGTTGTTAGGTCTGGTCAACGCCATTAATCTCTGCATCATCACCGACTATGGAGTTTGCTTTTCCATTATTCTAATGCATCAAATTGAAAAACAAATGGATTGATTGATTGTGAGTAAGGCCAAATTAGGATTTCTTTTAGTAAAATATGTACAAAATTTGTAAATTGCTATCGAAGAAGATTAAATTCACGTCCAAATCATGCCATAAATGTCAAAACTGGGCGATTCTTCAAACATTTTCCCCAACTTTTATGATTTTTTAACGTTTAATAGAAATCAAATGATTATTTCTATGCAATCTGATCATGTAAATGTGATTTTGACATAAACACACAACAATGGGTCATGGGTAGATAGTGGTGGCAGACAGTAGACATGTACATATACAATTCAATTATTTTAGTTAATAATAGAAATAATTATTGTCATCAGAAATTTGAATTTATCTTTTTACATGAGAATATTTTAAAAATCATCAGTTTGACAGAGGGTTGCAAACTAGTATAGCATTTATCGAATAATTTGAGTTCGAACATGATTTGAGCTCAACTGAATGGAGAGCTCAGATCAAATATGAGCACGAAACATACACCGAACTCGACTCAATCTTTATGTGTGCTTTTTAACATGTATGCACTTATGGTCCCGTTCGGACATATCTTTTATGACCGGTCTTGTTTTATTGAATATAGTTTGTTGTCCTAGTCTGAAACCTTCATTAACTCTTGCCTTCTTCAAAATAAATCAAAATGATTTATTTTTTCAAGCTATTGTAATTTAACTAAATCAGAATTGTTGCAAAAACACAAAAGAAAACCGAACAACTATTGTCTATATGTGTCACGAGCATGCTTTAAAATCATTTTTCTACAATCAATATCAAAGTTGCGCCGTAATGATACGTGATTTCAGTGTCAAATCACACGTGATTTGGTCGTTCTCGTGTTCTCTTATTTTGACACTAATATTGTTTGAAGCCAACTCGCTCTTTTTCTCTCTCTCCCTCTCTATATATAAATATATTGCATTTAATGGAAATATAAGGTAAATGAATGCAAATTATGGTTGCACTTTAATGGGGTTGGTACTAGATATTGTACCCAAATTTAGTGATGAGCTCCTAGTTTGGTGATAGCTAGGTTTCCAGCTCGGAATTGAATTCCGTGTTACGATTGGTGAAAATCCATGCCATTGGTAACTGATACAATATAGTTTTTATTTCGGAAAACATACTAAAAAGGTAAATGATAAGAAGCGTGTAGTAATTTAGTTGTACTTATTACGGAATAGGTTAGCAATGGGCCAGAAGAACATTGGCAACAACTTCAATTGCAAAGTTCTGGCAATCAAGCAACCTACTTCACCATTAACAACAAGTAGACCCACACCATCGGTTTCAGATGGTTCGACTTCAAGCAGCATGGACTTTTCTCAAATCGACATTTCGACTTTGAGGTACCACTAATTCCTACTTGCTAGCTTTCTTGCTGTATGATCGTAAAATATCCGAATTATTGTTATATTTTGATTCATAACCCATGACATAAGCATTGAAACTAAGAGGACATAAACATATAGGATCAATCTTTTGTCAATGGGGTTGTAGTTGTGTTTGGTAAGAAAGAAAAATTAAGAGCTCAATTGACGCTCTTGAAATAAAGGGTAACAGAGGGGTCTACTTTTGGTGGGAAATATATTTTCCATTTTTCCCTTTTCTTTGTCAATTTCTATAATATTGGGGAAATGACAAAACTACCTTAAAAAAGAAGGTAGCTTTGTCACTTTGACAGAGAATAAAATAAGAATTTATGGGTTCGTTTGTTTGGTTTGCTACATTTAGGGGCTGTTTAACGATTACCGAATGGTTTGGTGCAGAATGATTAAGTGGTCAAAATGATTAAGAGACTCTCATGATATCGTGCAAAATGAAATATAATTGTTTGGTAATTCTGTACAATAAAATTAAGGCTCTTAATGGTTAAGGGAGATCCATGATACAAAATTATTCAGAGGGTTTTAGAACCATTAGAAGGCAGACTATTTATTTTTTGCCAAACAAGATTCATCTTTTAATGATTCAGATGTTGCCTCTTAATGGAAGAGGTAAACAAACAACCCCTTAGTGGGATTTGTGATTGGATTACATTTCAATGTCGTATTTGGTTTAAATGAAAGTTTGGAATTGAAATCTTACAAACGCTGGATTTAGAAATTCAGTGAAAGTAGTTGGTATTTCACGGGTTTTGTTTATATGATTGTTACAGTGTACCTGAAGTTCTTCCAGCAAAAATCCCATATCAAGTATGTCCAGATCCATCAGCAATTATATGGAGATCAAGGAGAAGAAGAAAAGAATGCCATAAGTAGGAGGGAGGGAGGGAGTTGTAGACTAAAACACATGGTGCAAAGTTGGGTACATTTTGCATAATTAACACATTTTACTTTTCATAATCACAAGTTTTCTTAGTTTTTTGCCCTTGCAATTCTCAATGCACATATACCAATTAATGTTTCCATTCATACACTTGCTTTCCTTGGCTCCAATTTGTGAAACTAGCCCATCAACTTCTACTTATTTCAAATGTACCCCATTAAACTGTTACTTTAACCGTCTAGGGTCTTTGATGTTATTGGGTGGCCGTGATCGGTTTGTAGGGATGGTCGTGCTTAAATGCACATAACTTTTGCTAAAGGTCTTCACTTCAAGTCCATGATAATTGAATCGAAACTAAGAATGAACAATACGCTGTAGGTGGAGCCTACGAGATACTCGAGACCAAAATAACATTGTCTTTAAGACTCTTGTGTTTTTTAGTCCTTTGTTTGGGCATTTTTTGGTTGGCCCGTCACCTTTTGGGCTTCGTTATCTTTCAACTTCTACTTATATGTTGAAAGTATTTCGATGGTCGCTTAGATGAATAACACTTTTTCTTCTTCATCCAAATTGTAGAGTTCTATTGAATTTGACTTTGAAGCCTAAAATTTGGTATTCTATGAACTAACAAAGTATTAGAAGAGATTATTACTTGGTATTTATAGAATCAATATGATTAATCTTTAAGTCCGGTTATTCTACATCATTCTTAGGGCTCATTTATCAAAAAATTTAGTTAAGTGTGGATTCGGATAAGAGGTCTAACTGGAGTAAGTGCAGATTGGGTTTTCTTATTTACCAAACATTTTGTATGAAGTGTTAATTGAGTAAAAAAGACCATTATGTCCCTCTTTCTGGAGTAAGTGTTGATTAAAAAATTATTGTTTACCATATGTATTGTATTAAGTGCTAACATAAAATGTTATTTATCAATTTCTTTTAAAAATAATTTCAAATTCTTTTTTGCTTATGAAAATATAGTGATACTCAATATATTAACATATTACAGTTTTCATAATTTAGAACAAAAAGTCAAATTTAAAGGAACAACCACCACCAAAACAAAAAAGAATAAAATAAGGACCAACAAAGGAAACAACATCAAATCCTCAACAACGAACAAAAAGTCATTACAAGCTTTTAACATAATCGTTTGCGTATAAATAGTTCGCTTACAGATATAATTTCAAGCATTCAACATTAATTGATTTGCAATTTGATCACGCAAATTAGTCATATATTCATTGCTATCCGTGCAAGATTAGAGGGCATGCATATTGGAATTGTCCATTGATGAAAAGCAAAGAAATGGATGATACAAAAGGCAAAAAAATCCCTAATATTGATCAAATCAATGAAGGGGACCGATATGTGGAAAGGTGCATCAAAGAAGTGCAGTGTTATGGTGATTATTTGGTACAGGGAACTGATGGAAACAACTGGAATGAAATCTGGTATGTTTCTAAGTTTTATTCGAAACACATGACACCAAA